TGATCATGAACAGGGAACAGGTGAGGTTAGTGGAGACATCAGGACCCTGGAGAGCTCTGCTGATGGAAACAAACTGAGATCCAAACATCCAGAAAAACTGAGAGGTTTTCATCTTAGTATAAAACGACTCAGGGTGTTTAATTTCAGCAGATGAGACCTTTTTGCATATTGACTTTAATGTAAAATGTTTTTCATTTATGACCTTTGATGCTTCATATTTACTTTTGTCAAACATTTTCTGATCCTTTAACTTGTTCTGATTATATCAAACATGACTTTTTGTGGAGATGGATGTGCTAATAATCATCTTTAGTCTGAGAAGAGCTCTTTTTAATCATCTGTAAAAATGTTTCAATTTGAAGTATTTTGATTATTAAACTATTAAAGATCACTGATTATGTCTTTTGTCAAACTTGATACTTAATATGACCAGTAGAGGGCAGGACTGCAATGAACCATCTGAGTCTGGTACAAATCATGCCTGTGGAGAAAAAACATGCAGTTCAATTTTTACCTCAAACTCAGGTTGTATAAAAACTCTAATAGCAGCAGTTTCAGTGTAAAGATTTAAAACTAGTTTGAAAAACCTCAAACACAATTTTGTTCTAAATAAAATACCTCTAGTTGTTTTTAAACCACTTTTTCAAGATTGTTGAGAGTTTGGATATAGACCTTTAATTTTCAGAAGTATTGGGATCAATAGCAGATTTATTAAAAAGGCTAAATTACGGCTTCATTTTCTTATTAATTCTAATAATATTCTTTATTTCTGATGTTTTCAACAAAGGTGTCAAAAGTATTAATGTTTATTACTCAAGTAGAAGTATAAATCATTCTGATATTCATGTAAAAGTTTTAAAGTAGCGTTTTTAAACTACTTAAAGTATTAATGTAATACAGGAAAAAAAATTTAAGGACAGAAGCTTTAAACATTATACTGATAACTGCGCTACCAATTAAAGGAACATTTTTCTAAAATCCTGGAAGATAACTTCCTTAATACTTTAGTTTCTTAGTTTTATAACTAATGGTAACAGTGTCAAATTTAACTTTACATCATCTTAAAAAATTATTTATTTTGGTTTGTGGCGAACAACAAGTTGGTGCAGCAACGAGTCCACAAAGAAATTAATTGTCTGGATGAAGCAAATTATTTTGATCTTTATTTTCTTTAAATACCAACAGGCCATAATGAAAATGAGCCTAAATGACACAAAACTAACGAGTCTACTTTTAATATTTAAGGAGTAGAAAGTAGAGATAATTGCTAAAAATGTAAGGAGTAGAAGTAAAAACCTGTTTAAAAATAATTACTCCAGTAAAGTATAGATAGCCAATATTTCTACTTTAGTAAGGTAACAAAGTATTTGTACTTTGTTTCTTGACACCTCTGGCTTTCAACATATAAAGGATCTTTATTACTAGTTTTTGGCTGGTTGGGGTTTTATTTTAACCACTAACTTTAATTTTCTACTCTTTAATGCTTTCTCTCCATCATCATCCATTCATTCAATACCTCCTTGCTGGGACGGTACTTGTGCAGGTGGGAAGGGGAGAGGATGCTGGCATATGGCTGCTGCACTTATCTGTTAGAAACATGTTTAATCTTTCCAGCAGAGCAGTTTGCTCAATGGCTATGGAGGACCAATCCTGCCATAATTAAAAATAAATACAGAAATAAATAATTGTCCAAAAATAAATAAGCATACAATTAATTGGCCCCCAAAAACACAATAAATAAATAATGTAGATAGAAATTAAATTATACAATGAGACATAAATGTATATATCTCTTTTAATTACCCTTTCTTTTTTTGCCTTTGTAATAATTACCTTATTTATTTATTGTCCGTTATAATCTTCAAATGTTTTTATTTATTACATATTTCTATATAGTATCTATTCATGTGCATGTTATAATATTTATGTCTTTTTTTCTTTCTTGGTATTTTTTTTTACCCTATTTATTTCCTTCCTGCTATTTATTTCTGTGGTGGTTTTTACATTTCTGCCTCATTATGCAAATGAGTGTCTTAGAGGGTCACCTTCTGCCCAGTGGTTGGTTAGCAGCCACTGGCCACAGTCACAAAGATGGCTACCGAAATGCCAAAAATTCAGACACATAGCAGCAATATGCAAAGGAAAACAGCGATGTGGAAGATGTGCTGGAGAGCACAAATACGGAAAATGTGGGAAAGAAGGTAAGATCAAATGTTGTAACTGTGGTGGAGAACATACTGCTGCAAATTGCGGGTGTGAAGTGAGTAAAAGGTCTGAGGAACGTAAAAAACTGAAATTTGAGCTCGGAATAACTTATGCTGAAGCTGCAAAAAGGATCCCATCTCAGTCAGAAAAATCCAACCAACAGTTCAGCACATGGCAAATTCAAAACATCTGCGTCCCAAAATTGAAGAAGATTCACTGATTGTTAAAAAGAAAGATTTTGTCCTTTTCATTGTTGAAGTGATCAATTGTAGTGCTCTGACGAAAAGAAAAACCGAAAAAATCTAAATGTTAAAGACTTAAACTGCTAAATGGTTGAAAGCATGATGGGGAAACCAATAAGACCATCAGAAACTGGCTGAGTGATGATAACCTAAAGATAAATTAGAAATTATGAGGGCAAATATGATTAAGTATTTATTATGTTGGGTTCAGTTAAACAGTTTTTCTTGTTTTTTTTTTTCTTCTGGGACTGAGTTGTTTCCTCTTTCCTTGCTTAACACGAAACGACTGTCAGTGAGCTAAGACATTTAGCAACTGTTTTTGAAAACAATGCTAACATTATAAGTATTGACTTTATTTTTTTTTGTTTGGATGCTCTGTCAGTGTTTCATTTAAAGGAACACATGGACACAGATGTCGACAATGTAGTTTTTCAGAATCTGGAGGAAGCGGCTCATCTTCTTAACTCGGTCGCTAACAACCGCGTTGAAGTTGGTTTGAAGTTGGTTGTTGGATGTTCAAGCTCCGCGGAGTCAGCGGAATCTAGCTAACGGTTGATCAGACTGAGGGACTCCGATGTCGGCCAGCGTCTCTCAGCTGCTCCCTCCTCCCACACACGGTGGTGCAGTTAGGGACCGTCAACAAACCAAGCACTCTTGAGAAAAAACAGATTGATAAATTCCTTATCTTATGACCAGCTAAGACCAAACTAATATAAAATTTTGCCACTAGAGAACATATGAAGGCACATTTGCTTTGATGCAACTTAAACTATTTTCAATTTTTAAAGACAAAAGTTTGAACTCTTCTTTGATAGCTTCCAGGTCATGTGGCCCACTGAGTCAAATTCTTTGTGTAAATTGTTTTACTACATTAGCCTGATGAGGCACATTCATTTTTATTCCATTTTAAGCCTTTGTTCATTTTTAAAGATTTCTTATAATATACAAATGTGATATTTCTTCAATAGCTTCCAGGTCACATGACGTCATGGTATTGCCAAGTGTGAGAGTTGTGAAATTGAAAATATAAGTATTATGATATGGAAATGTAATTTTCAATCAAACAACGGGTTGTCTGACTAGACTGTGTGTTTTTTTTTCTAAATTTTTGGTAAATCTTCAGTCATTCTCCAAGGGATCCTGTAGGGGGGAAGAAAAGGAAAAACAAAAGAATGTAGGACAGTGTGACATCTCCTACATATTGTTTGTCCAAAAGTACCTGTTACAGTCTGTTGCAGTATTATGCAATGAAAATTAGTGTCTTTCAAAGCAGTGTTGTTTCTTTAGATGGCTAAAGCACTGATGGAAGCCTTTCCTGTTATTCCAAATATGGAATTTCACACAAGCAAAAAGGCAATGAGAGAAGAAAGAACAGTTCTGGCTCTTCAAATTCTTGAAGCATCGGGTGCATAATATACACCCCATCGCTGCCTGCAAGCCCCCAGTTTCTGGACCTCCAATTAATTACAGACTGGTTGAGAATATGAGTTGTCATTATGTAAATTTGAAGCATAAATATAGACAAACTCCAGGTATTCTTGAAGTTGTCATTTATAGAAGACCCTACTCTGTGACAGGAGAGGAGCATGTACTGTTTAACTACACAACTGAACAGGTATCCTTTCTGTCGTATTTTAACAGATCCAGTGTGACAGCTGCAGCAGGTGGTTCCATGCCCTGTGCCTTGAAATAAAGAGCACTGAATTTGAGAAAGCAAAGAAAGAAAGCTGGAACTGCCCACTGTGCAACTGAAATTCAAACTTTTTACTTAGTTCAACATTGTGAAAAACGAATACTTTCTAGTTATATGTTGTCAATAAAACTATACTTTGTTTTAGCATTAGGGCTGTTCCTCATCAGGCTAATGTAGTAAAACAATTTCACAAAGAATTTGAGTCAGTTGGTCACATGACCTGGAAGCTATTGAAGAAAAGTCCCAACTTTTGTCTTTAAAAGTATCTTAAAAATTGAAAATAGCTTAAAATTGCATAAAAGCAAGTGTGCCTTACATATATCATCAATTGGCATGACTTTATATTAGTTGGTCTTAGCTGGTCATAAGATAAGGAATTTATTCATCTGTTTTTCTTGAGAGTGCTTGGTTTGTTGACAGTCCCTAAATTCACCAGCGTGTGTGGGAGGAGTACTTGCATTTCATCAGCAAGCACTTTTCTATTGGAAATTAATGAACAAACATGAAGCTCTAGCGAAAGTTCAATTGAAGAAACTCTGACTTACCTCCATCAATCAGAAGCCGATCCGTCTCTGAAGCGAGCCAATCAGCTTCGAACTACTCCACCACGAAGC